TTGTCTTGAGGAGTTGTAATAAATGCTATGAAATAGGAATTCTTTCGCGAAGGCGGTATGTAGAACTTGTGTTTCACTTCCACAATGGTAGCTTTCCATTAGGATTTTCTTCGAAAATGAGTGTCATGGGTCTACCGCGTGAAGCCAGCTTTCCCTGCTGCGTGGTATCTACAATGTTAGCGAGTCGCGTAGCAACTCGGCGATCTTACCTCTAAAACAAACAGCGAAACAAACTGCTGCTTACGCTTCTACGCGGCCGGCTGTCTGTCACTGTGCTCATCGACATTCGTTGTCGATCCCCGCTGGGTGTTCGCTATAACATAGCAAAAGCTCTTCTACAGCTAAAGAAGAGCCTCAGTCTCTTTCGCACTGACATCACGTGTTCGTGCGCTTTTCTCTCGGCATTGCGCGGCTCTTTCGGCACTAATCCGTGCAACTTGCTAAGCGTCACGCCCTTTGTGTGTGCATTAGCTGGTTGCGCTGACGGTTACTTTCTTCCGAGCTGCTCTCTGTACATCGCAGCCATTCACAATACCCCTCCCACACATCATGTCTAACTATTACTATTCGAAGACATCCTACGACGAGTACAGCATGCAGTCCGGTGTGAGCCCGCGCGGCATCGGATTCCCTGCCTACTACTATCCTACTGCCTTTCAGAAACAGCCGAACTATCCACTTAGTCCTCGTCAAGCACAGGCTATACAGCGCCAAGCTCCCGACACCCTATTCCGACAACCAGCTAAGGATGGAGATACGCAGCGGCAAAATCAGTTGCGACCAAGTCAGCAACCGATACGAAAGCAGCCAGAAGAACATCAAAAGGAAAAGCTACAACCAACGCCAAGGGTTCAAAGTCCGCCGGGTTCTACTAGCCCTGGAAGCGCTAGGTTTGTCCCAGCATCACGCAATCATATTCCGGACAACTACCTATCCTTTATTGCTGCTCCCACTGGAAACAAATTCTACGGTGATTATCCGGAGCTTGTTGGTGATAGGTCCGCAACTTCTGGAGGAGGTCGTTCTCCGGAAACGCAGCGGAAATTACAGCCACAGCAACACTCAGCCTTTGGAACGTTTCCGAAAAGTTATCAGCCACCAAAGCTGATCTTGCAGCAGTGCAGTGAAGAAATTAAATGTGGTACGTGCTAAATAAAACAGTAATAACTGCATATGTTTTGAGAAGTATAGTATTATAATTTGATAGTATTATAGGTAGTATAGTACTATAATTTTCAAGCATGGAAGGGTGAAAATTTATTTGTATCAGCACAACTAATGCCACATTACCAAAATACTAAGGCGTTGAAAAATATTGCGAAAAAACCTCTCGCCGTTGTGAGCCAAACAAGATAGGGTGCTCGGGCAGCGCTGAAGTGTAGCAAAGAGATCAAATGCTGTTTGCACAAGGGTGTCATTAACGATACCACAATTGTCACTACCACACTCCAGACTTAGCTACCTCCATTGTGATCTACTTACCGATTAGTCAGCGCTTAAGCAAGTCAGAAAGCCAGAAAATGCGCTAACAAAAAG